AAAGTGAAAAAGTGATGTTCAAAACGCTACTGCCCGCTGATATAAAACACGCTCGCTCGAGCGACCAGACACAGAAAACTCTCGCTCGAGCCAAGAAGCCCTCGCTCGAGCCAACAACTCAAACCCTCAGGTCTGCAACCAGAAGCACGCTCGAGCGACAGACCTCTCGCTCGAGCGAAGAACAAACCAGACCGCTCGAGCCAAAAAAAGCTCACTCGAGCCAAAAAACGCAACTCTCAGGTCCAGAACCAGACGCCATCGCTCGCTCGAGCGAAGCCACTCTGGCTCGACCCACCAGACACAAACTCAACTCTCGCTCGAGCGACAAACTCCTTGCTCGAGCGAAGGGCCAAAAATCTGGGCAGCAACACTAGGCTCCCAAACACAACCAACCTGAAACAAACCTGCCCAACACATCCTATAACATAATATACCAGTTAAGAGGATGCAAACAAGATAATAAACAACTACCAACATCCACGGACACATGTCCGGATCACTGTTCAACAAGGGTAAACCCGAGATCGCTATAGAAGTTGAGGCGGGGCCTCAAGTTGAGGGTTGGTGGGTCTTTCATCCGTGAGTATAGACATTTAGTGGATGCTGCAGCTCATATGGAGTTCTTGATGCAGGAGGAGGATAAGGGGCAGAGAGGCTCCAAAAGGAGCCAAGATGGTCAGGGTGATGGCAGGAGACAGAGGGGTCCTAATCCTCAGCAGTCTCAAGGTGGTTTGGCTAGGTCGACCTTTCCAATGCCGAGTGCAGGCCCGGGAGAGGTGGTCAGGGGGATTTTACCTGTTACAAGTGTGGCCAGCTGGGTCACAAAGTTTCGGTTTGCCCGCAGAAGGGAGGGGGTCAGCGAGCTGCTTCTTCATCAGCTAGACCTCAGGGCCAGAGTCAAGGCAGAGGCCAGTCCTCGTCTTGCTATCAGTGTGGTCAACCCGGGCACCTGAAGAGGTTTTGCCCGCAGTTGAGTGCCACTTCGGGAGCGTCTGGTTCCAGGCAGACGAAGAGTTTTCAGCCAGCCCAGTCTGTGCAGGCCTCGAGGGCCTATCAGAGGGCTTCGTCATCCCAGTCAGTACAGCAGTCATATGCTCCTAGAGGTGAGCAGGGGGATCAGGGGCCCACAGGGCGCGTGTATGCTATTACCGCGCAGGATTTAGTACCGGCTCCATATACGACTTATGAGTCCAAGTTACCTTTCATTTTCCCTTTTTCAACGGATAGGCATGCTAGCTCTATCATCATTTCCACAGATATGTATAAAAACTATATCACGTGACTAACGATATGATCATCAGTTACACATTATACTTTGTGGTATTTTATGTGTTCTGGATTTTGTGCAACTATTCATTCTCTCTATATACTGGTAAATTAATATTAGTAACCAAGTAGGACAACATCTGGCTTAGCCCAATGGCCTTGTGTTACTCATAAGGAGTCATGCGTTCGACTTTCTATTTTTCTAATGTACCCAAAAAAAATATCCGAATGACTCAAACAATGTATTAATTTTGGCAATGTTGTGTTGCAGGGGGCCAGAGCTTTCCTCTTCCGTTTTCCTAATACATTTTTGGCAATGTTATGTTGCAGGGCCAGAGCTTTCCTCTTCCGTCCTTACCTATACAAAAATTCCATTCGGGCTCATAGCAATTGCAACACCTCGGAAGGATTCAATCCCTCGAAAAGTGTATCATTTCCAGAAATCCTTCTCCGGATGGCACGACAAATCGCTTACTTGGAGGTCCATCCCCTCGCGAC